GGGGAGAAACAATGTTGGCAAGCTCTCTTCCTAGCCTCTTGTCTGTTTTTATAAGAAAGCAAAACCTTCCCAGAAGTCTCCCCAGCCGACTTTCCTTCATGTCTCTTTGGTTAAAAGTGAGTGACGTGGCTACTTTTAGCTACAAAAGGGCCTGGGAAGGGGATAAGGGAAAGGGATGGATTAGTCAGCAATGGTGCCTTCCACAGTTGAGTAAATGAGAAAGAGACTGATCAATAAAAACTCATATAAGAGACCCAGAAAGCCCAGCAAATACAGACTGAAAACTAGGAAAGTCGTAGGAAGATCATTCATTCATTCATTCCTGTTTTGTTTAGGATTTTTGTATCTAAGTTCATGAGTGACACTGGCTTATAATTTTTCTTCTTCATGCTGTCCTTGTTGGGTTTTGGTGCCAGATATACTAACCTCATAAAATGAGTTGGAGAGAGTTCTCTATTTTCGACAAGTTTTTTAAAGGGCCAGATAGTAATTACATTAGGCTTCACCGATCCCACGGTGTCTGGCTCATCTGCTCAGCACAGGTGTTATAGTGTGAAAGTTGCCAGAGTCATAGACAATCTGTGAAAGAATAGGCCAGCCCAGTGCGGGCCACGGCTGTGGTTTACCTCTCCCAGTTCTACACCGTGTTTTATGTAAGTTCAGAATTATTTGTTTCTTAAATGTTTGGGCAAACTCTAGTGTAATAACACCCCATGAGTCTGTTTTTGATTTGTGAAAATATATTTAAACTGTTGATTCATTTTCTTTAATAATTATAGGGCTATTCTGGGTGTCTTTTCCTAAGAGACATTATATTATGTTATATTTTTGTAAGAATTTGTCCATTTGATCTACGTTCTCAAATTAATGGACAAAGAACTTTTTGTTATTAATTTTTAAATTTTATTTTATTTATTTATTTTTTAGCTGAGCCATCCTGCCCCCTGTTGGCAGCTCAGTGGCTGCTCAGCTTGGGCCAGGACTCGAACCGCTGTTGCTCAGAGCCCTTAACCAACTGAGCCACTCAGCCGGCCCTGTTATTAATTTTTTTATACTGAGGTAATAAAGTTTACCATCCTAACCACAAAAAAATGAAAAAAAAATTTTTTTAATTATGATAAAATATACATAACATAAAACTTGCTTTCTTAACCATTTTTAAGGGTATATACAGTTCAGTAGTGTTAAGTATTTTCACACTGTTGTGCAACCAATCTGCAGGATTCTTTTCTCTTGTAGAACTGAACGTTTTAACTATTTTTAGGTGTGTAATTTGGTGCTGTCAAGTACATTCACATCGTTGTGCAACCACCACACCACCCGTCTCCAGAGCTTTTTCATCTTCCCGAAATGAAACTCTGTCCCCATTGAACACTAACTCCCCTGCGCCCTCTCCCCCCGGGCCCCAGTAACCTCTATTCTACTTCCTGTCCCTATGAATTGCCTACTCCAGGTTCCTCACAAAATTGGAATCATACAATATGTGTCCTTTTGTGTCTGCCTTCTTTCACTTAGGATGTTTTCAAGGTTCATCTTTGTTGTCACATGTATCTATCAAATTTCATTCCCCACTAACACTATGGTAGGAATCATTTTACAATATATGAGTGTATCAAGTCAACACATTGCACACCTTAAACTTATACAATGTTAAGTGTCAATTATGTCTCAATAAGGCTGGGAAAAATAAATAAGAATTCCCTTCCTTTTTAAGGCTGAATAATATTCCCTTGTAAGTTTAGGCCACATTTGGTTTATCCATTCATCTGTCTGTGGGCATTTGGCTGTTTAAGCCTTTTGGTTTTTGTGAATAATGCTGCTGTGAACATGGGTGTACAAGCTCTGTGGGTCCCTGCTTTCAATGCTTCTGGGTATGTATCGAGACGAAGAATTGCTAGATCATGTGGTAATTCTATGTTTAACTTTTTGAGGAATTGCCAAACTGTTTTCCTTCATCATTAACTATTCATTTTGATTATTAATGATTCATCACTGTCTTCATTTTTTTCATTGAATTTTTACATATTGAAAATTGCATATATCATAAATGTACAGTTCATTAAATCACCTCAAATCAGCACCGATGTGTAAACTTAAGGCCACTTGTGTCCCCTTCTAGTCTCTTCTAACACTATAGATTAGTTTTGTCCATTTTGGAACTTTATATAAATAGAGTCATATTTTACTTATTCTCCTATGATCGAATTAGATTTATTTAGTCTCATGTTCTTTCGTTCAGCACAATGTGAGATTCATGCATGCTATTGCCTGGAGCCATAGTGAATTCATTCCATTATGTGAAAATACCACCATTTATTTATCCATTCTGCTGATAGCGGCTATCTATTTGGGTTGTTTCCAGCCTGGGGCTACAATGAATAGGGCTGTTATGAACATTCCTATACATGTCTTTTGATACACAAACGTACAGATTTCTGCTGTGTACATACTCATTGTTAGGTGATAGGGTTTGTGTACACCCAGCTTTACTAGATAGGACAGTTTTCTATTTCATATACGCCCACTGGCAATGGATTAAAGTTCAGATTGTTTGGTAATCTTGATGACATTGGGTATTGTAATGCTTTAAAATGTTTGCCATTAGCATAAGGATGACTATGGTACCTCACTATGGTTTTCCGTTTCATTTCTTTTGTCACTAAAGGCATTAAATCTTCTCAGATATTAACTAGCCATGTGGATATTCTCTCTTGTAAAGTGCCACAAATCTTCACCTATTTGTCTATGAGCAGTTGGATATTTTTCTTATTAATTTGTAAGAGCTCTGCTCCTTATATATTCTGGACATGAGACTCTTGTTGGTTACGTGTATTGAAAATACGTTCTCCCACGGTGGGGCTGGACTTTTCACTTGGTATGGTGTTTTGATGAAGTAAAATTTCTAATTTTAATGTCTTTCAAGTAATCTTTTTCTTTAAGTCTTGTTTAAGGTGACCTTGCAGATCTTATTGTTGTCCTTCGTTTCTCTCAGTAATCTTCTATTAGAAATATTTGAGGGTTTTTGATGTTTTCTGATGCCATTGTAAGTGATATAATTTTTAAAAAATAGACTTTTAATTGTAGGATAGTTTTAGATTTACAAAAATGTTATAAAGATTGTGCAGTATAATTTTTAAAATTGAAAACATTTTAAGTTTCATTTTCTAATTGTCTGTTGCTGTTATAGTGTAACATTAATGCATTTTGCATATTGTCCTTGTATATTCAACTTTGTATACTCATTTATTAATTGTAATAATTTATCTCTTGCTCTTTTTGGATTTTTTATGGACCCAATTATATCATCTGTGAATAAGACAGTTTTATTTCTTCTTTTCTAATCCCTAAAACTTTCCCCCTCTATTGTGCTGGCCTGGACCTCAGGAAAATTTTAATGTAAATCATGGTAGCAAGCATCCTAGTATTTTTCCCAAATTCAGGGGAATACTTCTAATATTTCACCATCAAGTATGATGCTTGCTATAGAATTTTTTGGTAGATATTCTTTATCAGATTGAAAAAGTTTCCCCCTTTTCTCACAGTTTCCTAAGAGTTTTTTTAAAATCATAAGAGGATTTTGATGTTCTCTTTTGGGTGGTGAATTTTATCAAATGATTATTCTGCCTATCTTAAAATGCTTTCACTATCTTTTTCTCCTTTATTTTTGTTACACTAATTTTCAAATGTTAAACCAACCTTGCATTCCTGGGGCAAACCCAACCTCTAGTGATATATTATCCTGTTTATATATCCATGCCTTGGTGCTCTCAAAGAGATTCTTAAAAAAAAATTGTCTAGTGTTTCTAGTTTTTTCAGTGGAAAGATTGGTAAAAAAATAAGCTAGACTGCCTTTGCTGAAGTGGAAAACCCTTACAGGTTTTTTAATTTCAGTGTATTTGTTATGTCTTTTCTCTTTTAGATCAATATTGCAGAGGTGTGTGGTCACAAAACAGGGGTCTTTATGTTTCTGCTGCAGGGGCTCCCACCCCCTGCATGCCAGGCTGTGACTCAGACCACAAGCTGATGCTTCTGTCTCCAGCAGTGCACATTCAAGGGGTGTTGGCCCCACCCACTCACAGTGGATTGACAGCATTGGGTCTTTGACCCTCTCTCCTCAGGGCTACTGATGCTTTTCAGGTTACTGGGTTGCTGTTCCAGTCCCACGAGCTGACGCTGGTTATACCATTGTGGCCATTAAGAGATGAGAGAAGTTCCTGGCAATTGTATATTCTCCCAATAGGTCAGCTATTGTCCACCTTGTTTCTCCGTAGCCCCTACCATTCCTGGTGTGTTTCACCACATGGTTGATTCATTACTCTGTTCTTTAAAGTCTAAATCCAACTTTCAGCAACTCATGGTTTAATTTAAGGTGGTGGTTCCCTATATCCATGTGTTAGGCTGAACTATGGCCCCCACAAAATGTCCACATCCTAATCCCCAGAACCTGTGACTGTTACAAAAGTGACTTGCAGATGTGATTACGTTAAGGGTCTTGAGATGGGGAAATTATCCTGGATTATTTGATGGACCCTAAATGTAATCACAAAGATCCTCTTAAGAGGGAGACAAGGTCAACGGAGGAGGTAGGAGATGTGATGACTGAAGCACGAGATTCAAGTGATTCAAGGAAAAGGTTGTGAGCCAGGGAGCGCAGGCGGCCACAGGAGCTGATGACAAGGGGACGGATTCTCCCTCAGAGCCTCCAGAAGGAGCCAGCCCTGCTGACACCTTGATTTTAGCCCAGTGAAACTGACTTTGGATTTCTGACTTCCAGATCTGTAAGACAATACATTTGTGTTGTTTTAAGCACTGAGTTTGTGGCATTTGATTACAGCAATGACAGCAAATTAATTCAGTCCCCCACTTGCATAATCAGGGGAGATTAAGACTCAATACAGATCTGGAATTGCTTATTGACCAAGTAAGGGTGTAGCTGAAAGAAACACAACCTGTCCTACAAAAGTAAACCAGGGTGGAGTGCATAGAAGGGATATAAGCAAGAGTGGCCTACTCCATGAAGTAGAAGGTCCAGTCAGCAGGACATACAAATGCAACTTCCAATTCCAACAACAGGCCCTTTGGTGAGTTTGCACAGAGAAGGGACATGGGATGTTGATGGCAGGCTGAGCTGTAAATGTTTTTAAGTCTTTGGCTCCTGTTCTGCTAATAACTAAATTAGTATCAGAGAAGAGAATTTCCACCAGGGTTTTGGACTGGGTGTTGTTGATGTAGGCTACTGGCAGAAGGGTAGATAAGATGATGGAGCTACCCTATAAGATGGGGGAATCCACCACCAGGGAGGCTGGTGAGAGAAAGCATGGGCATCCCCACTGAAATGGGGCTGGATGGCTGAATATTCATTCTGCAAGGAAGTTACTTAACATGACAATTTAGTTATGTTAATGATTCACTTATTTGGAAGTCATAACTGAAAGTCAGGAAGGCAATGAAAATTTCTGAGTAGTCAAAAAAGATGTTCCTGGTTTGCATACTTCGGTTTTCCTTATTTATGCATTGATTTAAAATTTTAAAAATTTATTGGGGTAACACTGGTTGTTAACATTATATAAGCTTCAGGTGTACAATTCTATACCACACCATCTGTATATTGCATTGTGTGCTCACCACCCAGAGTCTAGTCTCCTTCCATCACCATGTATTTGACCCCCTTTACCTTCTTCATCTTTCCCTCACCTCCCATTCCTCTCTGGTAACCACCATACTATTGTCTGTGTCTATGAGTTTCTTTGTTTTGTTTGTTTGTTTGTTGCTTTCTGTTTTACATCCCACATGAGTGAAATCATGTGGTTCTTGTCCTTTTCCACCCGGCTTATTTCATTTAGCGATACTCTCAAGATCCATCCATGTTGTTGCAAATGGCGAGATTTCATAATGTTTTTTTTTTTTTTTTTTACGGCTGAGCAGTATTCCATTGTGTGTGTGTGTGTGTGTGTGTGTGTGTGTGTATATATTATACCACTTTGGTATCAGGGTAATGTTGGCCTCATAAAATGCGTTAGGAAATATTCCCTCTTCTTGGATTTTTTGGAAGAGTTTGTGGAGGACAGGTATGAAGTCCTCTTTTAATGATTGGTAGAAATCACTAGTGAAACCATTTGGTCCTGGACTCTTCTTGAGAGGTTTTTGATGACTGTTTCCTTACTGTTGATTGGTCTATTTAGGTTTCCCAGGTTTTCATGGTTCTTCTAGTTCTTCCCAGGAAGGTTATATATTTCTAAGAATTTGTCCACATCTTCCAGGTTATCAAATTTGGTAGTGTATAGCCTTTTATAGAATTCTTGAATAGTCCTTTGTATTTCTGTGGTGTCTGTTATAACTTCTCTTTCATTTTTCATTAGTATTTGTGTCTTTTCTTTTTTTTCCCTTAGTGAGCCTAGCCAGAGGTTTGTCAATTTTATTTCTCTTTTCAAAGAACCAACTCTTTGTTTCATTATTTTTTCTATTGCCTTTTTGTTCTCTGTTTCATTTAATTCTTCTCTAATTTTTATCTCCTTTCTTCTACTGACTTTGGGCTTCATTTATTCTTCTTTTTCTAATTCTTTAAGGTGAAGTGTTAGGTTGTTTAATTGAGATTTTTCTTATTTCTTAAGGTAGGTTTGTAATGGTATAAATTTCCCGCCTTTTTTTTTTCAAGTATCACAATGTTTATTGATAGATACATGTATATAAAATCAGGGCATGAACATAACTTGATAAATTAAGTAGACTTAAGTTCAATACTATAATAAGAGGGACCAATTCGAATTCTCACCATTTGTTTCACACCATAAAAACCACTTTATGATCTCTCAAAACTGATCAGTTTTGTGCAAGTAAACAATGTTTCTTTCAAAAAGACTTGTGCACTTGCCCAGCCTCAAGGTTATTACAATTTATTCCATTGTAATGCTCTCACAATATTTAATCAGAAGCATGTCAGTTAGGATTTCCTTCTGTATACTTTTTTTTTTTTAAACTGAGTAATCCTGCCACTTGTTGGCAGCTCAGTGACAGCTCAGCTCAGGCGGGACTCAAACTGCTGTTGCTCAAAGCTTGCATTCTTTTTTTTTTTTTTTAAAGATTTTTATTGGGGAATTGGGGGGATAGGAACAGTGCTGGGGAATTGGGGTAAGGGGAACAGACAAGTTGCTGTCATTTTGTTCTTCAGTCTAGTTGTGGAGGACGTTGCTTCACTGGCCCAAGTTGGCACCATCATTGCGCTCTTCCCGGCCGAGGCAGATCAGTCACCGGCTTCTGGACGGCCACTCACTGCGGCTGCTGGTCGCTCATGCTGGCTGCTGGCTACATACAGTAGCCCATGGCAACCCACTGCAGCAGGGGCTGCAACCTACGCCGTCGTCGGCAACTCATGGCAGCCCAGCTCCAGGTTGAGCTATGTTCAGCATCTTAGCTGTAGAGGGCAGTGTCACTGGCCCTCATATGTGGGATCCAAACCGGGGCCCTCTGGCGTCCCAAGCCAGTTCTTAACCATCGCGCCACTCGGCCGGCCCAAAGCTTGCACTCTTGAGCGAGCTCTTAACCAACTGAGCCACTCGGCCGGCCCGTATAAGTTTTTTTCTGTTTTTTGTAGTGTAATGTCTTAATTATAGTCTCCCACCAAATATTTTAGGAGTGTCTTTAAACTTCTCTCTTAGTACTGCTCTTGCTGAATCCCCTAAATTTTGATGTCATATTGTCCTTTTCATTTGTCACTAAGTATCTTTTGACCTCTTTTTTTATTTCTGCTTTGGCCCAATACTTTTTCAGGAGCACGTTGTTTAATCTCCACATATTTGTGGCTTTTCCAGCTTCCTTCTTGTAGTTAATTTCCAGTTTCGTGCCGTTGTGGTCAGAAAGTATGCTTGGTATGATTACAATTTTCTTAAATTTATTGAGACTAGCTTTGTGCCCCAACATATGGTTTATCTTTGAGAATGTTCCATGTGCACTTGAGAAAAATGTCTATTCTGTCGTTTGGGGATATAACGCTATGGAGATATCAATGATGTCCATGTTGTCTAATGTGTCATTTAAGGCTGATATTGCCTTATTGACTTTCTGTTTGATCTATCCATTGCTGTCAATAGAGTTTTTAGGTTTCCTACTTGAATTGTATTTTTGTCAGTTTCTCCTGTTAGGTCTGTTAGAAGTTATTTTACATATTTTGGTGCTCTCAGGTTGGGTGCATATATATTGACAAATGTTATGCTTTCTTGATGAATTGTCCATCCCCTTTGTTATTATAAAATGACCGTCTTTGTCTCTTATTACCATTTTTATCTTGAAATCTTGAAATGTATTTTTTCTGATATAAGCATGGCTATACGCACTTTTCTCTGGATGCCATTTTCTTAGAGTATCATCTCCCACCCCTTCAGTTTGAGCCTATATTTGTCTTTGTAGCTGAGATGGGTCTCCTGAAGTCAACATAAAGTGGGCTTTGTTTTTTAATCCATCCCGCTACTCTGTGCCTTTTTTTTTTTTAAGATTTTTATTGGGGAATTGGGGAAGGGGAACAGTGTTGGGGAATTGGGGAAGGGGAACAGCCAAGTTGTTGTCCTTCAGTCTTAGTTGTGGAGGGCGCAGCTAGCTCAGTTCCAAGTCCAGTCGCCATCTGGCCACCCATTGGCAGCTTGCAGCCACTTAGCTCAAGGTGCCATGTTCAATCTTAGTTGCGGGTGGGCGTAGCCCACCATCCCATGTGGGAGTCGAACCGGCAATCTTGTTGTTAGGAGCATGTGCTGTCACCAGCTGAGCCATCCTGTCGCCTGTTTGCAGCTCAGTGGCAGCTCAGCTCGGGTGCAGCTCACTGGCCCATGTGGGAATACAACCAGCGACCCTGTTGCTCAGAGCTTGCACTCTTTTTTTTTTTAAATATTTTTTTTATTGGGGAATTGGGGGGATAGGAACAGTGCTGGGGAATTGGGGTAAGGGGAACAGACAAGTTGCTGTCATTTTGTTCTTCAGTCTAGTTGTGGAGGACGTTGCTTCACTGGCCCAAGTTGGCACCATCATTGCGCTCTTCCCGGGTGAGGCAGATCAGTCGTCAGCTTCTGGACGGCCACTCACTGCGGCTGCTGGCCACTCACGCTGGCTGCTGGCTACAAACAGTAGCCCATGGCAACCCACTGCAGCAGGGGCTGCAGCGTAAGCTGTCGCCAGTGACTCACGGCAGCCCAGCTCCAGGTTGAGCTGCTGTTCAGCATCTTAGCTGTGGAGGGCAGTGTTCACTGGCCCTCATATGTGGGATCCGAACCAGGGCCCTCTGGCGTCCCAAGCCAGTTCTTAACCAACGCGCCACTCGGCCGGCCCTACCCATTATTCTTATATTGTTCTTATTAATGGAGTCACATAGTTCTGTAGGCTTTTTTCATTTTTTAAAAACTCTCAATTCTCTCTCTTCTTCCACCTGAATCATTTCTTGATTTCTATCTTCAAGATCACTAGTTCTTTCTTTCACATGGCCTGCTCTATTCCTAAGCTCTTTAATTCATCCTTCACCTTATTTACTGAGTCCCTCCACCCCAGAATTGCTTTTCGGTTCTTTTTTTATAATTTTAATATCTTTGATAAAGTACTCCTTTTGTTCATTGAGTTTATTCCTGAGCTTATTGAACTGCCTTTCTGAGTTTTCTTGTATCTCACTGAGTTTTTTCAGCACTGCAATTTTGAATTTTTTGTCATTTAAATCACAGTTTTCCATGTCTTTGAGTTTGTTTTCTGGAGACTTTTGATTTTCTTTCTGAGCTACCTTGTTACCTAGGTTATTAGTGGTACTCGATGGATTATTTCTCTGCCCGGTCATTTGAGGGATTGAAATCTTCCTTTTTAAGTACTGCTTTTTGTTTGTTTGTTTGTTTGCTTGCTTTTAACAATTTAGCAGATTGATAAGTAGAGGTCTTTCTTTTGTTTTCTAGTAGATGGTGTAATAGCACAAGTTCTTTATTTTCTCTTACTTGCACTACTGGGGCTTCCAGGTTCTTGGTAGGACCATATTGCCTCGGCCATTGAAAATATCCAGTATTCCCCAAGGAGGTGGGCGTTCCCTCTGTGACTGGATTGCCTCAGTCTCAGGTCACCATCCCCTTTGTGGGATGTGGCAAGCAATGGAACTCCAGGCCTGTGAGTTCTTGGTGCTGCTGTCCTGCTACCAGAAGCTGCAGCTGCACTGTACTATCTGAGGTGTCCCAGCTGCCTCAACTGGGTTCCCCATGATGGGTAAAGAGGGGTGGGGCGGGGGGAAGGTGGGTTTGCACATCTGCAACTTGCTTTGTCTGCTGGGTTTAGCCAAAATATGTACTGGCCACTCAGGCTGGAATGTTGCTTCTGCCCCTTCATGACCTACCAAATGAGGGCTGTAGCCCAACACCTCCATTGCTACCACATCGGTTGGGACTGGGCGGGAGACAGAAGTGTGAGGGGGGTGTAGATTCACTCACCTGCATCTTTATTTTTTTCCTGGAAATGGCACCTGCCCCACTACGGCTTCCATACCATTGAACTGCATCTCTGCTCCCATCACTCCGCTCTGTAGTGCTGTGTACCAGCCTGTTAGGCCAAAACGCTCCCTGTGCCCCTCCAAGCTTCGGCATGTTGCCAAGTGCTGCAATCTGACCTTCCACTGCTACCGCCTCTGCTGGGGCCACTGAGAGCGCCCAGACTGTGCCTGTGGCCCCTGCCTTTGTCCTTCCCCCAGCCTCCCTTTCCTGCTTGCTCCCATACACCCGCCTTCAGATGTCTCGATGCGCGGATCTCTCAGTCGTGTTTGTGTGTTGAGCAGGGAATCCTTGAATTATAGTCTAATTATAGTTGTCCAACTTGTTGTAACTTTAAGGGGAGACACCAAGAGGTCTTTTCATCCCACCGTGCTGCTGATGTCTTGTACTTTGGTTTTATTATAGTCTCTGGGCTCTGTTTCAGCTCCATCCATTCTTCTTGTGCATGGAGTTCTAAGCAGTGTAGTCATCTGATTTCTGGCAAAACAGCGGAAAAAAACAGCCAATAAGAAGCCAGGAGATCAGGGTGGGCAAACAGACAAAGCTAAGAGGCAACAGCTGGCAGCCTATGTTAGCAAAGCTAAGTATAAAAAGACGAACATAAACACGCTGGCACCTCCAGGTGCTCCTGCTGCCCAGCCCTGCCCAGGATCTCCCAATCTCCCTCCAACCCACCAACTAAAGGGCTAACTCCTGGCAGAGAAGGGGCCTTCCAGACCCTGCTACAGCATAAAGTCTCATTTCTGTTCTGCCTGGTCATGCCCTGGCCTTATGGACGTTAATAATGTGAATATCACCCGTGAAACGTAGGTGTACATTGCTTTAATAACTAAGCTAGCTAACTTCCCCCTCACTTCTCTATACCTGATATAAGAAATAAAAAAAATAACAGTTAGGGGTCATTTCATGTGGGGAGAATGGTTATATAGAGTTATAAGCCCCATGGGCATCAATATATTGCAATGCAAGATAATAATTAATTTTCATATTAGTGGGCCTCAGCCATTATGAAAAGTTTAATTGCTCTCAGCTTTATCTACTTAAGAAAGCAGGCAAGAGTGTGATACATTTATAAGTTTTAATCCAACATGGACTAAATGTCTTGGTGTTTATATAGAATTGAGCCTCTAACCACCTAGAAAACTCACTTGTCCAGAGTGATTCATTCTTCAGGATTCCAGAGCAGGAGCTCCTGAATGAAAGAAAACAATGGCCTGTCTATATTACTTATGGCCAAAATATACATATTCTTATGTAGCCAGATTCATTCTTCTATGCCAGTCCCGTATAAACCCGAGCATTGGCTCACCTGGGCTGACAGTGCCTCCATGCTCACCTGAGCTGATCACCCCTTCCTGCTCACCTGGGCTGACATGCCTCTATGCTCCTTCGGGCTGATCACGCTTTCCTGTTCACCTGGGCTGACCGTGCCTCTCTGTTTACCTGGGCTGATCACCATTTCCTGTTCACCTGGGCTGATCATCTCTCCATGCTCACCTGGGCTGATAATACTTCCCTGCTCACCTGGGCTGACACCTCCCCGCCCTCTTCTTTGCCTCAGTGGGTCTTTGTCATGGAGCTGTGGTAGCACCAAGGAAGAACACACGCTCCTTTCTCAGTTTTGACATTATATTGTGATGAAAATAACATTTTGTCAAGTCATTTCAGGTAACCACTCAAACCATAGGCCTTAGAAAAAATAGGAGTTTAGAATAAGCTATAACTTTGATGAACTGGAGATGTGGTTGGATGAAATCAGAAGCCAGTTCAGAGTCTAATGTGACACACTAAGACAAAACAAACAAAACAAAACAAAAAACCCAAAACAAACAAAAAAAAACCCCAGTGTGCTTTGCAAATAGAAAAAGGAGGAAACTCATGCTCAAAGTTAATGGAAAATTTTAGATTCGAAGAAGACAGTGAGGGAGAAACTAGGCAACACAAGCTGCCTGTGGATTATGTCAGTGGAGTGGGCTACACAGGAGAGAGTGAGGGGGCCGTCTTTCTTTAGCGATGTGCTCTCATCAGCAGATGGGTCTGAAACTTTATGGGCCTGGCTGGTCTGCTTGCTTTAGTACCTTCATTACTCAGCCTAACCACCTCCTATCAACATTAGCCAGTGGCACAGATCACCAGGCAGCCCAGACTCTTGCCTGAGCCAAAGACTCGGAAAACCCAGAGCAAAGCCGCAGGCCTGATGCATGCAGCAGGGCTCCATGGTGGGGTTGCCAAAATTACAGACTCACAAAGGGAACCCTGCACTTACTGTGAGGGCTTGCTGGGGCAATGAAGTCACCAGGACAGAGTGTGAACCGCAGGACAGCAGGACCACGGGGGAAACAGAGCCAGGGAGCCGCTGGTGGAGGTGGACTCGCTGTCTCCCCAGCACAGGCTGTGTGGGTCCCCCTCCTGCAGAGCCCCTCTTTCTGAGAATCTGCTCCTGTCTACGCTGACTCCCACAGCCACTCCTTCCTCCCACTCTGCTGTGTCCCCTCCCCCACGGCTAGGCTGACTCAGTTCCTTCTCACTGCAGCCTCCCTTTGCACCCGGGGGGGGGGGGGCGGTCCAAACCTCCCAGCTCCTACCATATCATGACCTTGCAGGCTCCAGCTTCCTAATTCTTTCCCTGATTTCCAAGCAAACAGTTCAGATGGCTGAATTTGTGTTATCCTGCTAGTTGGATGTCAGGGGTCCCTGCCTATCTAAAGGCCGAGGCCCATCCTTGCTGTCCTCAGCAGAGTTGGGGTCTCATGGGACCTACAAGGGGGCCGTTCCAGCAGTGCCAGACCCCGCAGGCAGGCTGTGGTCTACTTAGCAAAGACTGGAGAGCGGGTTTCTAATTCCTGAAAATGTGGGCAAGAGTTCCATGAGATGGAGAACGAGTCCTTCCTTTTTGCCTCCAGTTTCCTCACTAACAGGCTGGGTGACAATGATAAATCACATCCTTTCTCTGTAGAATGAGGGGTCTGAATCGATAACAATGCCGTTTGCCTCACACCAGCCACTGCTCCAAGTACTACACACAAATTTGTTGTTAATCCCTAGGAGGAAGATACATCACCAAATCCTATTAAAGATGGGAAAACTGAGGCACAGAGTAGTTGAGTAACTTGCCAAAAGTCACACAGCTAGTAAGTGGCAGAGCAGGTCATTCTGACTTCTGACCCTTGCTCTTAATCATGCTGAATTCATGCTGCCATGTTGCCATCTCAGCATCCCTCAGACTCCACGGAAGTCAGCAATGAGCTAAAGGAGGCTGGGGCTTAGCTCTGTTTTCCAGAACAGGATGGTCCTTTGTATCTGGCCAGGGCGGCAAGCACCCTGCAGGAACACTGCTGCCTTTTGCCTGTGCCCTTTCCGAAGCGCATGAGAAACGCTAACCTGTCAGCAGGTATCAGCTCAACAGTGTCTCCCTCAGCTGAGTTCAAGGACTGTTTACCCATGTGGATGCAGGAGGGTTAGGCAATCCATTGATGTGACATGTTCATTGGTTTGGGTGTGACCGAGCGCAGTGCAGATGTTGGAACAAATGCATTTCATGGGGAAACACGGGCACCCACACCTGCTCGATGGCCCAGAGGCACACCTTGGGATGTGGCTCATGAGCGGGGCCTCAGGGTCAGTTGTTGAATGACTGACCTCCAGTTAGGAGCCTCTGATCCATGCCTGAACTGCAGGTAGGCCATTTCCCAAGGTGCCTGGCTGAAGGCAGCCAGTGTGCGGCGGGTGACTGGTGACAACTGCTGAGACAGGTAGGAGATCCCAGGTGGGATCCGGCGGCGAGGGTTTTCTGGCCCTGGGGATGCCCCTCACCAGGCCCCAGACCTCTGCTCGCCAGGAGCAAGGGCACACAGACAGTGCCACTGTTCCAGGAAAGCCTCCCATCCTGCTTCTCTCTGCCTTGGGCCTTTTTCCTCTCCTGGGTCACTCATCTACAAAGGCTGCCCTGTGTGGCCCTTCAAGTGACTTTTTATAAGTCAGGACATTGAGCAACCAAACCCATGGGCTAATTGAACACGGTAATGACACCGGAGATCAGGCCGGCGCACACCGCCCTCCCAGGTGGACCAAACCAGAAGGGCCATTGTGGGTAAGGTGTTATTGTTTTCATGGGTACAGCAAACGGTAGCTCAGCCAGTCAGACTTGGTAAATTGTTATTTACAGTTTCTGAGCTTTTAAAAGAAGAGCTTCTGGAATCGGTCCTGACTCGAGACCTGCAGCACCATGACGACTCTGGTGACACTGCTGTCTCTGCTCCTCCTGGGAGCCCTGGCCCAGCACGGGTCCGACTGGACGTACTCAGGTAAGCCCCCACCCCCGGGGCTGCAGGCTCCCTTGGTACCCTCACCGTGAGAAAGGGAACACCCCCTTCCTGAGGACCACAGTGAAGCCTGGCATTTCACCGGCACGAGGCCACCCACGCACGCACGACTGTGTGCAGTTCCTGTGCCATGGTCTGCCCATTGCGGGCTCCACATCTCGGGGTGCACGGAGAACACACTGAGCTTAGCCCTCAGTTATGGAAAAGAGGAGCTAGCTGTCCCCTTCACAGATCCTGACTCACTTTGCAGCTCTTTTGCTTTCAAACCTTTTCTGCCCACGGAGCTGGTTTGAGAGCCTCTCACTGCTCCTGGGTGCAGGACCCTTTGCTTTCTTGGTCTGTGTAAATAGAAAAAAGTTCTTAGAAAGGTCTACCTGCTGCCTCACAGAGGGTGTGTGGCTTTGCGAGAGTTTTCTTCTTAGCAATTTCATTACACATAGTCTACCCAGAACGTCTGGACTTGTCAGAACTCAGTGCCCTCTGGCTAGCCCCCAGGCTGCCCTCCCCTGACCCTGCTGGTACTTGGATCAGCACTTAACTGAAACCCGACTTTTCAAATGTAAAGTGGAAACTCCTGGCATTTAGCACGTGTTTCAGCCCACGTGGGAGCCAAAGACAAGACCAGATCTGTCGGGTTTGGACAGGAAACGCCCCTTCCATGAGGCAGTGACAAGAGCTTCTGCCTGTACCCCCTCTTTTCTGCTTCACCGAGGGATGGGCCCCAAGAGGATGCTCGTGTCCACTGGCTGATGCAGGAGCCAGGAGCTCCCCAGGGGTGGAGCCCACTCTGCTTAGTCCCCCCCTCCTCAGACACAGGGGGAAGCGTTTGTTCAAGATGCATGTGTCCTGTTAAGTCAAGGGCAGCAGAATTAGGGACATTGCAGGGAGGCTCAGAAAGTCCAGCTTCAGGGGGCAGGACGGCGCACTCTGGCCAACCGCTCTGTCCTGGAGCAGAGGACACCCACTCGCAGCCAAGGCCACACGGCCATGGAGACCTGGGCTTCTGCTTCACGTGGCCCACTGGTACCGGTATGGGGATAAGGAAGAGAGAAAGTTCCAGCAGGGCAGGTCTTGTCCTCCCCAGCTCAGCCCAGCCTCTGAGACTGTGCGCCTTCTGGAAAGCCAGCAGGGACCCGGGAAGACTTGGGGGGAGCTACTGCAAGTGCCTTTCAGGAATACTTGAGAAATCCCCCAGCCCTGGCAGGGGCATGGGCCAAAAGCCTTTTGATCCATGAAGGGGCTGTGCCCAAGACCTCAGCCTCGATCCTGCCATCTGCCTCTAGGAAAGAGCGATTTAAAAATTGGACTCATATTAAATAGAGAAGGGCAGAATTGACTTTTCTACTGATTGCTAAGCCAAGAAGCTGCGAGATACCCAAATACAAGCATCACCCTTACAACACGAGCTATGCACTTAACGTGCAGCTATGCCCCAGGGGGAGGAGAGCCTGGATTCCCAATTGCCGGTGGGTGAGACCAGGACCCACAGCTGTTTGGAGGCTGAGTTGCCCATCATAATAACCTGCTTTCATTAACCTCTCTCTCCTATGATTATTAAGAAAGATAAATCTCCCTACTTTGATTATTTTTTAACAAACTATTTGATCATCTTTGAACCTGATGCTTCCTTTCTTGCCCTGAACCCATAGGTATAGGTACCCAGGTGGCCTTGACCATACTGGGAGATTATTGAAAGGGGCTGGAGCAAGAAGACCGGTGGGGGTCCTGCCATAGGGGGTGGGGAGCTGTATTATTGTTGGGGGCTGGGAAGGGGACTGCACCATCCGGGGACATGAGGAAAAGGCCCCTGAAGGCATCACAGTATGTCCCTGAGTGTTAGGTCTCTGAGTGTTAGGTCTCAGAGACCTCAACTTACAGACAGAGCCGTGTATGCAAGAAAACAACAAAATGTTGGTCTGCACCTGCAGACAGAGCCAAACTTGCGATAACAGAAAACACCACAAAACAGCTACTGGCTTACAGGCAGTCAGCATTTTCTGTTCAAACAATGCTACCCTGTCAGCACCGCCCCTATACAACCCTCCTCACCCCCTCCCTCGGGGCTTCAGGTCTAAAAGACACGGCTGTAGCCGTCTTTGCTCCACCTGATAGACTTTCTCTCTCTCACAATAAACTTTCTTAACTTGCCTGACTGTGGACCCTCCTTTATCAGCCGAACTATCACTGAGTACCACGCCCAAGGAGCCCCCTAGTACATTTGTCAGCTGGCAATCATTCAAAGGGAAAACTAAAGCTATGTATTTAAAAGACTTTCATAACACTAAGCCATGTTCCCAGGGCCAGTGGCTGCAACAGCATAGCTAGGAGTCGGCCTCTAAACCCCAGACACAGCATCCATGGAGTTGATTTAGATAACTGCTCCCGCCTCCTTCTGAGGTCCTGCTTCTGCTTTCTAAAAGGCAGGCAGCTGGCCTTGACCCTGGCATCCTGCCTGGCCCCTGTGGGCCTCCCGCTGGGCAGGCCCTGCCGTGAGCTGCAGGCTGCGGCCTGTGCCCTGAGTGAGGTGCCCAGATGGAGGTCTCTGCCGGGCATCCCCTTGAGTGTCCCCTTGGCTCTCTCCTGTCTCAGACGGGGCGCTGGACCAAGCACACTGGCCCACGGAGTATCCCCTCTGTGGGGGGAAGAGGCAGTCGCCCATCAACCTGCAGAGAAAGAAGGTGCAGTACAATCCCTTGCTGACGGCTCTGAACCTGACCGGCTACGAAGCACAAGGGGGCGAGTTCCCCATGATCAACAATGGCCACACAGGTAAGGGGCAGGCGACAGGCTCCTGACCATGATGGGTCAGCAGGGGATCCAGCACTCAGCCTGGGAGCTGGAGGCCTCAGACGTGAGGATTGACAGGTGTTCAGGCCCCGAAGCCAGGAGGCCCTTCCACAGTTATGCAGCCTGTCTTTAGAATCCGTCCCGGCTGGGCAGTCTCCTTCACTCTGCAATAGCCTCTCCCCAGCTGGCTCTGACCCAGCCAGCGGGAAATTCAGCCAACAGAGCAGCAATGCTGCTGAAGCCACACGGCCCACCTGCGTGTTCTGCTGATCCGTGTCCTGGTTGGTTTTTCTGTGTTTTCTCTGTTGAGTGGTTAGCTTTTCCAGAATGTCACGTACCGTATTTGCCGGCGTATAAGACGACTGGGCATATAAGATGACCCCCTAACATTTCCACTCAAAATACAGAGTTTGTTATATACTCGCCGTATAAGACTACCCCCTCTTCCGCACACCTTCCACACACCAAATAAAAGGTAAAACAATATCAGATTTGATTTCAACATTTATATTTATATTCAAATGCTTATGACATGCAGGAAAACTGTCACAAGGCTGTATGTAATCAAACATATACATAAATCGCGATTCGCGATTTTGCGCTATCATACTGGGTGTATGGTCGGCTGTGTGCGATTTTGCGAGTGTGGTAAAATCGCATAACAGCAAAATCGCATAACAGCCGAGCATACACCCAGCAGCGCTGCTGATGCCTGAACGGTATGTGGAATGAAGTGGGCGGGCATCGGGAGGCCACTATGGCACGGGGCAAGCACTATGGGCAGTCTATCTGAAGTGTACCTGGCGTATAAGACGACCCCCCACTTGGAGGCATATTTTTCAGGGCCAAAAAATCGTCTTATACGCCGGCAAATACGGTAGTTGGAATCATACACTATGAAGTCTTTTCAGATTGGCTGCTTTCACTTAGTAATATGCATTTACAATTCCTCCATGCCTTTTCATGTGTTGATAGTTCATTTTTTTTTTTAGTGCTAAATAGTATTCCATTGTCTGGATAGATAAGTTTATTTATCCGTCACCTACTGAAGGACATCTTGGTTGCTTCCAAGTTTTGACAGTTTTGAACAAAACTGCTATAAACATCTGTGCACAGACTTTCGTGTGGACATGTTTTCAGCTCCATTGGGTAACTACCAAGGAATGTGACTGCTGGATCTCATGCATTCAGGAGTACATTTAGTTTTGTAAGAAGCCGTCAAGCTGTCTTCCAAAATGGCCGCACCACGTGCATCCCCACCAGCAGATGAGATTCCTGTTGCTCCACGTCCTCACCAGCATTTCCTGCTGTCAGTGTCTGGATTTTGGCCATTCTAACAGGTGTGCAGTGGTATCTCCTTGCTTTAATGTGTATTTCCCTGATGACACATGACGGGAGCACCCTGTAACATGCTTAGTTACCGTCTGTGTATTGTCTTTGGTGAGGTGTCTGTTAAGGTCTTTGGCCCATTTCTCAATCAAGTTGTTTTCTTATTGCTGAGTGTTAAGAGTTCATTGTATATTCTGGACAACAGCTCTTTTTCAGATGGGTAGTTTGCACATACTTTCTTATTTTCTTCCAGTCTGTGGCGTGTCTTCTAATTCCCTTGATACTGTCTTTTACAGAATAGAAGTTTTTAATTTTAATAAAGTCCAGCTTATCAATTATGTCTGTCATGGATCATGTCTTTGGGATTGTGTCTGAAAAGGCATCACCATACCCAAGGTCATCTAGGTTTCCCTCTGTTATCGTCTAGGAGTTTTCTAGTTTCGCGTTTTACATTTAGGTCTGTGATTTATTTTGAGTTGATTTTGGTGGAGGATGTAAGGTCTGTGTCTAGATTCATGTTTTTGCCTGTGGATGTCGAGTTGTTCCAGCTCCATCTGTTGAAAAGACTCCATTGTTTTGCCTTTGCTCCTTCGTCAGAAATCAGTTAACTGCATTTATATGAGTCTATTTCAGACTCTCTGTTTTGCTCCATTGATCTAGTTGTGTGTTCTTTCACTGATACCACACTGTCTTGATTACGAAGTCAGGTAGTGTCAGTCCTCTGCCTTGGTCTTTCTCCATCAACATTGAGTTGGCTATTCTGGGTCTTTGGCATCTTCATGTAAACTTGAGAATCAGTTTGTTGATACCCACAAAATAACCTGCTGGGATTTTGATTGGGGTTGTGTTGAATCTATACATCAAGTTGAGAAGAACCGATATCTTGAACATATTGAGTCTTCCTATCCAGGAACATGGACTATCTCTCCAATTATTGAGTTCTTTGACTTCCTTCATCAGTTTCGTAGTTTTCTTTATGTATACCTTGTACATATTTTGTTAGATATATACCTATGTATTTAAGTTTTTGGGGTGGTGATGTAAATGGCGCTGTGTTTTTAATTTCAAATTCTACTTTATATTTATATTTTATGTGCCCCATTTTTATTATTAAACAGACATAAAATTACATTTCAACAAAAAGAAATTGAAAACACACTTGGATATTGAGGCAAATTGCTACAAAAGTTTCTAAAGCTTATCCTTAATTTCTCTACTTTGTTGTAGACTAGTAACAGTTGGTGAACAAGTACTGATTAATATATGTATTTTTAATTCTCTCAGATACAATTTCATAGACTCCAAAAAAGCTTAAAGTCCTGAGGTGCTAGGCTTCTAGTGTTTAGTAGGAAAAACAACATTGTTCTCTTGATAGGTACTATCAGCCCCTGTTAGGCTCTTTGAGAGGAGGGACCACCTCTCATTCACCTGTCTCTCCCAGTACCTGGCCCAGATGAGATGCATTCGAGGGGAAAAGTCTTGTGCATGAAAGGATAGACTCCCCAAAGAGGCACTCAGAGGTGATGCAGGCTCTGAGCAGGTTTGGATCTTTGAAGGCTGAAAGGGCAAGACTGGTTTTGTTTTCTTTCTTTCTTTCTTTCTTTCTTTCTTTCTTTCTTTCTTTCTTTCTTTCTTTCTTTCTTTCTTTTTAACAAACTCTTATTTTGAAATAGTTTTAGATTAGAAAAATTGCACAGAGAATTCCCATATACCCTTCCCCCACTTCCCTTTATATTAACATCTTTACATCCTATAAGCATACTACACTGATACAACACGATTAAGTGCTCTACAGACCTCGTTTGAATTTCATCACTTTGTCACTTGGCCTTTTTCTGGGCCAAGATTGAATCCAGGATCCCACGTTGCACTTTTCCGTCACACGGGGTCAGTTCCTCAGTCTTTCTTGGACTTTCATAGCCTTGACACTTTGCTATTGTTTCCTGGCACAGAAAATGCTCAGATCATATGGGTTTTCTGGTCTGGTAAGAACTTGGTTAAATTAGCTTCAGATGATTGGGGTCAACCTCTTCTGGAAGTTCAATCAATTTTCAGAATCTGGAAGGTCCAGCAAGTTGATTTTGGGGGACAGAGATTTGGCCTCATTTTTTAAAAGTAGAGTGACAAGCTCAGAATTGCTGCCGTTTTCCACTCTGGCCTGTGCTGTTCTGTTGAGCACACTTGAGAACTGAGACATTCTGTCTGCAGGAAATTGGGTTTTTACAGGATCTCTGCTATTGCTCATATGAGGCTCACTGTCCATTTAGAAAGCTCTGGCCTGGTCCTCACCTCTCGAATCTCTTGGCACAGATGACTCTGCACATCTCCATTTAAAGGCCCTTCCATGTGTTCCCACGTGAGCCTTGATTTTGAGCCGGCCACATTTTCAGCACTGAATACAAAGCACCTGCCCTGCCAAAGAGCACATGAAAGTCTCGGAGGCCGGGTTCCTGCATTACAGCATATTATGTTATGAATGTAATCCCAGCTCCCTGCTGCTTTAGACAATTTGGAAAGGAAGAAAGGGCATTTGACGGGTCCCAAATACCTAATATTTGTTTTTAGAAAACTTCCTTGTTTATAACCAACTTTGATGATCTTGAAGACCTTCCTAACAGAACAGATGCTGCCTGTCCCTTTCCAAGTCCTAAATGATATCCTCATGCATATTTCTCTTTGTCACTCTCTGGTGTCACTCTCCACGTCTCCCTTTTGCTTGGCACATTCCAAAAGATAGAGATTTCTCTAAGGCCTGAGCCTGTGAAATGAATAATGGCTGCTGTGTGACCAGAGTACCTCCCTATAGGAAGCCAAGGGCATGAGGCAGGAGGAACCTGGAAGACTGATGCATTTTTCCAGCAGCAACAGCCTAACATTTAAGGCATCCATTGACAATAACAGTCACATTAAATGCCAAGCCAAGGCTCCGTGCGTTCCCTGGCTTGCTGCAGAATTTGGCCTCTTGTTTCTGAAGACAAGTAGAGGCCTACAATGGTGACATCTTATCCACACTGGTTCTGGCCCAGTTCTGCCCTGACTGATGAACAGTGTGACTCAGGAAGTCTTTCCACCTCCCCGGGGCAGCTTCCTTGTCCACAAGAGTGTTGCAGCCCCACAGGAGCGGAGTGGGCTGTCAGCTGGGCTACTTCTAGAAGGTACACGGGATGAGGGTTTTATCTACACCACGAAGAAGACAACAACTTCAACTTGGCCTGACAAACAGTGCTCATTCTAGGTAGCACGAGCAATCAAAATACTCCCAAGAGGCCCTGCTTCCTGTTTCTACACTGTGGGAAAATTCCCAAAGGGCCAGAGGTGGAGAGGGGGATTCTGGTTTCCACACCCATTGGCCATATTTTTCCAGGGCCATCTCTTTGACCTACCACTTTGTGGTCCTGCACCTAACCTTCTTGTTCTGGGTGGGAAGGTGTGTGCCTTGGGAGAGGCACCGGCCCAGCCCAGCTTACTCAGTGCCTGGTCCCCATCGTGCCAGGTGCCTCCTCCCATTGGTGACCCTGCTCATGACATTCTAAGCCGGTCTGGAGCACCAGCTTGCCGGAGAAGTGGGCAGGTGGCCAGGGAGGCCGCCCAACCAGTAGGCCTGACTCATCCCCGCCCACCTGCGCCTCTCCCCGCCTCTCGTCTTCTCTTCCAGTGCAGATCAGCCTGCCCCCCACCATGCGCATGACGGCCGCCGATGGCACCGAGTACATAGCCCTGCAGATGCACTTCCACTGGGGCGGCGCATCCTCCGAGATCAGTGGCTCTGAGCACACCATCGATGGGATCAGATATGTGACTGAGGTACCTTGAGGACCCTAACCGGGTCCTCTCCTTCAAACCCCATGGTCGCTTTT